GGACATGCATATAAAGTGATTGCCTCCCAGTGCTTCCTTTGGGGTGGGGTGGCTTGCACAGTTCCTTTTACCCTGGGCTATGCCTAATGGGTACAACACAGCCTCATGTTAGGTGGAGGAACTGGTTCTGTGGTGGATGGCAGTTCTGTACACCTGCGCTCAGGAGTTTGTGCATGTCAGATAACATCACAGTTCCTGCTACAGAAATCGAACAGCCTTTGCTGAAGACATAGTTTGTCATGCGTGAGATTCAGGGTTTGCTTTAGAGGCACTGTGGAGCAAAAGGATGCATCAGAGGGAAGGGTAGCAGCTTCCATCCCTGGTTTCATGGCATGTGTGCGCAAAGCCATGCAAGTTAAGCACGTAATTTAGAGAGTGCTGTTTTAAACTGTAAAACAAACATAGGTGATTTGTCTTTGTTCTGAATGTCCCTTGACATTGGCAGTTTGTCTTGGTTCCTTTAAATTCCTAAGTGGATTATAATTTTTCTTGTGGTATTATTTGACAACAGTCATTTTTCATGGTTTTACTGAATTCTTCAGATATTTAGGATTTTTTTAATGGAAGGAGTTCAGTAAGAGACAGCCATCTCGAGGGCATGTAGTATAATGCAGAGTCTGCAGATAAAACATCTCGGGAATGTTTTCTGTAAACTTTTATGCCATTTGCATGCTTAGAAAATACAGGATTTGACCCACTGTGGTTTATAGCATTTAAACCATATAATTACCTACATGTTCAATGCAAATCCCTTAAATACAGTGGCACAGACAGATTCCTTAGTACTGATGCACTTCAAGAACTGGAGTACTCATCCTAAAACAATAGTGGAGTTTGATTTTAATCTTGATTTTTCCAGTCACTAGTAGGCTGAAAAATGTGGCCATGCAACTTAACTTCATCACTTTTATATATAATGCATCCTAATCATAAAGACTATTTTACATAATAAGCCATCTGGATCCTCCAACGCAAATTTTTCTGGTTTCTAATATTGCCTAGTCATTTATAAGTCCATAGAAATATGCCTTTTATCTAATTAGATTAGTAATGACTCTACTTAGTATAGGAATTACAGCAACATAAGGAGAAAATAATCACACATGCAATGTCAAAATAAACATTCATGTCCTAAGAATATTGTCAGGTGATATCATACCATCTGTCTTCCTGTATCTCGTCAGAATTTTTGCTGCAGCAGCATCTGGTACTTTGGCAAGATCTGCAGACAACTGTAGTAGCTTTACAGCTGCCTTTAAGTTTGCATTTATGTTTGAGTAGTACAAAGGCTCCCTGATCAGCTCCCTACTCCTGAGCATATAATTTTTCTCTGCAGTTCACATTCTGAGGAATATAATAGTTTGCAGAATAATATAGTGACGCTAAGACATGTCTTAGAGGTTTTTGTAGTGGACTTTTTGCCCCAGATATTCACGTGTTTTCATATGGCGTGAATTTATCTCTGGAATCATGTTCAACACCAAAATTACATGTATGGGATTTTTTTCCCCTCCCCCCCCAGTCCCTAGATCAGTGGTTCTCACCCTTTTGGGATTCGAGGCACCCCTTACTGGACTTGAAACACCCCTGCATAATTTCTGTGAATTAAGTGGCATTTCAAAAATGAATTTATATATCACAGTGCTTATGTCTACTCAGGGATTGGGCGGTATGCGGGGGGGGGAAGGGGGGGAGGAGTAGGGACAAGGCAGGTTCTGGCTTATCTGCTTTATCTCATTACACCTCACTTTTCTCTTGATACCAGATGGCACCCTCCAAAGGATCTGGTAGCATCCCAGGGTGCTCTGGTATCCTGACTGAAAATTACTAGATACTCCTGGTAATTCAAGAGCTAAGACCCTGATCCTCAAGGTTACTCAGATACCTCTCTGTCTTCTTGGGTGGCTATGTTCACACAGATATTCTCAGAACCACCACTTAACTGCTGCTTAACTAGGTAGCAGTGAGCATGTGCAAAGCTGCTTGTGCATCGATGCCAACAGCCCAGCTCAGAACCTAGCTCAAGCTGGAGCCATGAAGGATGATTCTCTAATACTCCAAGGGAAGTAGTTAGCTGTGTTAGTCTGAAGTCACTCAGAAGGCAGGGTAGCTGTGCACCCTAAACTAGCTAACTAGCTAGTTAGTTAGCTAGTAAATTAACTAACTAGCTAAGTTATATAGAGAGAACATAACCTTTTATGAACCCAAGTTCACTTCATCACATCATCAGAAGTGAACTTGGTTCACAAAAGCATGTGTTCTCTCTGTATATCTTACTTAGTTTATTAAGGTGCATGCTACCCTGCCTTCTCTAGCGTTCCCCCACCTATCTCACCTACAGACGTATGTATGACTGAGTGTATTCCTCTCCACTGAAGAGTTTCATAGTGGTCAAAACAAGTAACCTCATGATTAAGCATTCCCCTAGCATGTGGGAAACCTAGGTTCAAGTCTTTGACATAGGTACCTGAATCTCAGGATTTGCCTATATTGCTTCTGCAGCATGCCCAAAACCATTATGGAGGAATGAGCCCCACCCACTTGCACATACCAAATGTTGTGTGGTTGCCATTAGTGTAATGTTGAGCACTGCTCAGGGAGTGTATTCAAGACTCAGATCCTGAGCGCCTCCCCAGACATGTGCCAAACAGCAACTGTAGAACATTTTTTAGTGTATGCCAGGAGCATCTGGGCAGAGCTTGGTTCTTAGGATCACCACAGGGACAGTATATATGAATCCTGTCTGCTTGATCCCAGAGAAGTGATCAAACAGACAAGCTGTGGGCTATCCTGAGATGGATGTCTCCCAATGTCTTTGATCGGAGTGGATCCACTTTGTATAAAATATTAAATATTCAGTGGGCCAGAGGAAGAGGATAGAGAGATTCAGTAGCCCAGGGGTTAGAGCACTCAGTTGGGTATGGAAGAATGATGTTCATGTTCAAGTTTCTGCTCCCGTCATTATTTATACAAAACAGAACAGCTCCAAAATGAAAGGCTGAGAGCTCCATTCCAGAATACCCAGTAGCCTGGCATTCAAGGCAGTCATCTTTACTCAGAATAAAGTTAACAGAGCCTATGCCCTTAGTATCAAGATTGTCACAAAGATGGAACACTTGGTTTTGGGGAGTCCCTCAGGTACCTAACTTTCGGGGGGCCTAATTTAGGTACTAGCTGACCACTGGGCAGCAAGAGTCTTAGATATTAAATGCAAAAAAGTTTTTAGCATTCCCATGCTTAATTATCTGTGGGTCATTTCATCACAGTATTGCAATCTAACTAAATGCCTCTAGTGTCATCACAGAAAAGTTGGAACCCTGGCACTTCCTCATGTTGGCTTGTGCCTTTTCTTCCAATGTGCTATTATGTTAAAAATGTATTTTAAGCGCACAAGAAGGGCATGTCTTCTGCAGCTACCAACCCATGTAAAATGTCAAATCTGGTTGCACAGATGCTGTTGTGATAATCTCTCATTGTTACTGAATAGTATGATAATTACTATAATTCTTGTGTAAATGATTATTAGTATGCGAGTTAGACCTGCTCTTGGTAAGGCTTTACTGTTAAACATTCATTCATTCATTTAGTTTCTCCATTCACTTGCTTATTTTTCTGTTCTACTCTTTAGAGTAGAAACAGCCTACTTTGACCAGCTCTGTTTCCTCTGGGCCCATTGCAGCTAAGCAAAAATTGGAAAAGTTTTCACTTGCACACATAGGAAATTGGGATGGGGTTGTTTTTAATAAGTACTCTGAGGAAAATCTGTGTAACTGGTGTTCACATGTTTTATGAATTGAACTTAGGTCTGTTCAAGCCTGAAGTGTTAAGCTTTTTTTCCTTTCTACAAATAAAAATACCTTGGAAAGAAACTGGAACATATCCTCATATATTTGGCCATGGTCACAGATGAATATGTTCTTTGGTTCAAAATTCAGATTTCACTGGGTTAGATGATTTTAAATACATTTATAGTTTATTTTCCAAATACAGTTGGTAGAAATCTTCTCAGTCAGTTTTCTGTTCCTCTGGGTTTTGGACACCTGTTAGAGAAAAGCATAGTCAAGTCATTTGAATGGTTTGGCTGAATGTTCAGTTTATTCAGGTATGAAACGGTCACTTTGATTTGTTCTAGCGATAGGTATATTATAAGCAAAGCAGCTTGAAAGATGTCCTCTTTGGGTTTTCAACAGCATTTTGTGATTCTCAGAAAGTAACGGTCACCTTGCATACAGGGGCTGTTCTGTATTACAGAGCTTTCTACTATTCTGTGACTCCACATTGGTTTCCCTTTAACTGAATTTGCTCAATGTTTTCACAAAGGGGCTTAGCATTCAGGATCCTGACCTTTTCTTTTCAATTTTGGGATTTTAAATTGTGTTTTAGATTCTGATAAATGCAAAGGAGGAAGGGAAGGCGGGCAAGTATAAGCATTCAAATTCTAGTTTCATTATGGTCAGTGGCAGTTTTGCCATTGACCAACCACCACAGGGGAATTTAGAAGAATTGCTAATGTTTGCTTCAGTGGCTATAACTTGGTGTAGTAAAGTGAGAAAAGGGAACAGTGAGGTGATATCAGGTGAAATTAGCCTGTGAAACTAGCTCCCACAGGAAATGGTGGAAGTGTGGGTCATTTTAAAAGTGGTTGTCCAAAGCATTAGGGAATCTATGATAAGGAGTGACACTGACAGAGGCATAGATTAGCTAACATATTAGCTTCTTCTAATTTCTATGTTTCTAGGAATTAAAAATAAATTCATTCCTTCTCTTAGGTAATTGGATTTAGGAAGTTAACCATATTTTGACGGTTTACAGGAGGGGGTTGTGCATAAGTCATCAGTGCTGCTTCGTAGGAATCATGTTGCAAATAAAGCCTGGTCCGACAGATAAAAAGGCAGGTTTTTCTAATCCACCAACAAACCCTGTCCCCAACACACATTGTGTGGGCTTTAATCTCTCTCTCCTTCCTGCACAACAGTAATTTTTCTGTTTCTTTTTTACAGTACAACAAACACCTCTTCGTACACATTGGACATGCCAACCATTCTTACAGCGACCCATTGCTTGAATCGGTGGACATTCGTCAAATTTATGACAAATTCCCTGAAAAGAAGGGAGGTTTAAAGGAACTGTTTGGAAAAGGGCCTCAAAATGCCTTCTTCCTAGTAAAATTCTGGGTGAGTAAGATGAAAGACTTTTCATGTGGGTTGGGCTTCGCTTTTAGTCTATTTGCCTTAGCATACTTTTTACATGAAGGCATATGCAGAAATTAATTTTTCATTTGGAGACATGGATTTACATTATTCATCATTTGTATATATTCTTGACATAGAACACTAGCATACAGCCATTTCTACTCATGGTTTCCAGTCTGTGTCCCACAAAGACATCTAACTGTAATAATATTACCTGCCATAGCATTGCTAGTCACAGCCAGTAATAAGCAGCTAATAATATTCATTGTTATAAATGGTGAACTGCCATCTAGTGGCATAAATGAGGAGCTATAGCAACAACTTGAACTGAGACCTCTCTGTAAGTATCAAATGTTTCAAATGTTGGACTGTGTTGACAGCAAATATAAGGTGTATCCCTGACAATCAGCCCATATTTTTACACCAGAGACTAAGTGACGTTTAAAATAAGTATTATGTAAATACCTAAGAGTTTGCAATGTTTCCAGTGATTGTATTGTAGTGCTTTTGTTTGTTTTAATTTTGGCTTTGTTGTTGGAGCAGACCTGCCTTCAATATGACTTCATGTGTTTGAAATACTGCCACAGAATTCTGTTTCAAGTGAAATACACCTGCTCAGCAGGGTTGTGAACAGGAGGTAAAGAAATATCGAATGGAAAGTGAAACTAGATCTCACAAAGAGTTAGGAAATACATAAATATATTGCTGTCACTTTATACATGTCTGGTGGGATTTCACTGATATGTCAGCCATCTATCTATTCTATAAATCACATACACACATATGGCAATAATCTCCAAAGTCTCCCAGGCTATAACAGCATCGTATTGTAATAATGTGTCATATTACTAAAGCTCTGTTGGTTTGCAATATTAGCTATAGAATATTTCCTAAAAATATGGATTATCATGCACAAAATAATCATGAATGAAAAATTGTCAAAATCAATTTGAAAATTATGTTATGGGAAAGAGCTGCTTTTGTTTTGTTAGATTTGTTCCATTTCCCTGATAATCTGCCAAATTTAGTAATCCATAATGCGTGTACCAATCATTCATTTGTACAAAATAATGAGATTCTACAGGAACATAACATGTTAGCTTTTAATACTGCTTCTACTCTGCTGAAATCCAGAAGTAAAGAATATTGCTTTTTTTATTTAGCAGTACTTGGAAAAACCAACATATTAATCTGAATTTCTAATTATATGATTTACTCACTGCAAAAGAAAAGGTTTGCTTTAGCTTTATAAATGTTGTATTAAAGCTTTTATCATCATTACGTCTAAAGGGGGAATAATTTTCTGCTGTGCCATTTGCATCATATTGACATAAACCAAAACATGTTCTGAAACAGGAACTTCTATCTGAAATGACAAAACTGACACTGATCATTAATGTAATGATCAGTGTTGTTGGTTTGGCAGACAGTAAGGTAGGCATATGCTGTCAAGATCCCTGCTCCTAAAGAGCTTACAGGTCTATAAAAAGTTCTATTGCCATGGTTATAATATGTTTTGGACATGTAAGTAAACATATGGTGAGGTCATCAAGCTACATATTATGGAGCTAGAATATGTGGAATTTATTAATGAATAAATGTGGTTTATGTGGTCTATCACACTGAGCATTACCCCTTCAACATCCTTTGAGGCATTCCCTGCTGTTTTACAGGAAAGCTTTACTCTAAGAATTGAAATGTACTATATTAAGAGTAGGTTTGTTTTCTATTACTGAAGTCCTGGAAGCATATTAAAAAATCAACCTATAGTCATCCTTAGAAATTCTGTGCAAAATTATTATACTTAAAACAGAGCAGAAAAAAACAGTGTTAGCATATGTTTTTAAAGACAACATCCATAGACCAAGTTCACTTATGCCAGGGTATGATGGCAGAGTGGCGAAGGTGTCCTCCACTACAGAAGGTGTGAGTTCAAAGTCTGACTTCCAGAATCATGTTAAAGTCTTCCTTCAGCTGGCCTAGCCATAAATTGGTATGTGGTTATTTGGGCTGGGGAACCAAATGTTCCCATGATATTGGCCACATCCCACAGAAACTGCTGTGTCCCACCTATTCTATCTTAGATGGACTTTGCCTTTCCCTAATTTTTTTTTCATTAACACTCCAGATGAAAGTAGTCTGAGTTTCACATCTTACCTGGCAGTGTATTTCATTTAAGGCTAACCCCCTGAAGAGTTTTTCTAGTCCTGCCCCTCTGAGAGAGGGGAAATTGTCTAGAAGCTTTTGCTGCTGCTGCTGCTGCTCCTATACAAAACCTCCTTTTTCTTCAAAAGATGGCCATCCAGACACAAGGACAGTTGCCAGCTTCACCTGACTAGTTTGTTTGAGCTGAGTCAAAAAATGCATGAACAAAACATGCCCTGCAAATACCTGTAAATCCTGAAATCCTAGCTTCGTCAAGGTCAATGATATAGTTCCCTTTATTTTCAGTGGATCCAGACTTTCAACCCTGATGTGCTGGGAAGGGATTGGACTGTTCTTGCCTTGAAAATCTGTGCTAAACTCAGCCAGTTCCAACTTTTATTTTAAGGAGCACATGCACCTGCTAGAGAGGACACATTAGTAATAAAGCATTTGCGGCTAATCTGGCACTTTCAAATAGGCTGATTTACAAGATATGAAGCATTATTCACTTAATCCTTAGGTTTCAGAACTTCTTATTCCACGGTCCCCTTTTGAGTGGTAGTAGATTCCAAGGATCAGAGTTTGCAATGAGTGTTTACAATATGGTCCATCAAAAATACTGGTTCCTTGTTACACTTACCAAAGACCACCTTTGGGCTGAAATACCTCATCTGTATATGTTCTAGACCTGAAGCTTACAGTTACACATTAGCGCTCATAATTGTGGGGTTTTGTGGGTATTTGGGGTTCATACTTCAGCCACTCTTACTAAATATTTCAAAAAGCATATGAAATATTTTAAATCAAAAGAAGTAAGAAATTATAAAAGCCTGGTTCCAGTGGAGGAGAGGCAAGTGCTGAAATGTTGGTAAGCATGGTAAGTCAGCAGCTTTGCCAACATCTCTTTTACCCAGCCATACCCCATTTCCGATCCACAGTGATTGGGACAAGGAACATGGGGTAGGGGTCACCTTGCTGGGGTCACCTGACCCCAGTTGTCTTTCCTGCCTAGTGCAGGGGGCCTGGACCCAATGACCTTGTGAGGTCACTTCCAGCCCCTTACAATCTATGAATCTATGAAACATTATGAACTAGGAATAGATGGTTAAGGAGCATAGAAACAGAAGGTGATTGGGAAATGGGAAGCAATGGGGGACAGAATTTGAATGAGCCAAAGTGAAGATACTAGAACAGGATGAATAACTAGATTAGATGAAGGAATTTGGAGGTTGACAGAAGCAGGGACTGGCTAAAGGAGTAGACTGGGACACAGTTATGGCTAGGGAAAAGGTGGAGGCATGATAGGACACAGGCGAAAAAGAATCAGGCATGAGGAGCCCAGGAATGGAGGAATCTTAGCCCACTAAAGTATACTGTCCTCCAGAACCTGGGACTGAACTCAAGATCCAAATCTCAAAAATAGCTTGCTGTCAACAAGTACCTGGCAAACCCTTTCATAGATTCATAGATGTTAGGGCCGGAAGGGACCTCAATAGATCATCGAGTCCGACCCCCTGCATGAGCAGGAAAGAGTGCTGGGTCTAGATGACCCCAGCTAGATACTCATCTAACCTCCTCTTGAAGACCCCCAGGGTAGGGGAGAGCACCACCTCCCTTGGGAGCCCATTCCAGACCTTGGCCACTAACTGTGAAGAAGTTCTTCCTAATGTCCAATCTAAATCTGCT